AATTTTGTTCTTTAAACATCACTACACCAACATCTGCTTGAGGTCTTTAAGATTTTATTCTCCTGGACATTCATGGATATTACCTAGAACCCCTGCTCAGATGTAGCCCATGGCAGCTCAGTGTCCAAGTGAGTTCCCTAGTAATGGGTACAGGGACTGTCTCTGACATGAACTCAGTGGCTGGCTCTTTGATCACTCCCTGTGAGTGGGGAGCAGCCATGCCAAGCGACAGAGGAGGACAATGCAGGCCGTCCTGATGAGACCTGATAGGCTAGGTTCAAATGGAAGGAGAAGAGGACCTCCCCCATGAGTAGACTTTTAGAGGGGCTTGGGAGGAGATGAGAGAGGGAGGGTGAGATTGGGAGGGAATGAAGGAGGGGGCTACTGCTAGGATACAAAGTGAATAAACTGTAATTAATATAAAAATAAATTTTAAAAAGGTAACAGATTAAAAAAATTATTCAATTTTCTAGAATGATTTATCCTGTGTGTGTGTGTGTGTGTGTGTGTGTGTGTGTGTGTGTGTTTCCAGATAAATTTCACCTCTGTACAAAAAAGACTGATTATGGTGCTCTTTACCTTAACTTTGAGTCTGACAACACCCAAATTCTTTTTCCCTGAAGTTGCTTATCTTCATGGCTATGTATCATTTCAAATAGTAACAGCTTAGATATGTATCATTTTGTTATCTACATTGTCACCATACGCTATTAGCTTTGTGTTTGTTGAGCTCATGTGTACATCTGCTCTCACAGCCTTGATGACAACATAGAAATTAATGAGGGAAATGTTTTCCAGAAGAAAGAAATTTAGTTATTTCCACGTGGTATTATGATACCAGTTAAATAGATATTATATATTAATCAAATAATTTAATGAGTATCAGATTTATATCTAACTATTTTATTAGAACATATTAGACAGTCCTACAAATATGTTAGCTTTCTATGAACTACTTAATGTGTAGACGAGATGTGTTTTACTTACTTCGGTTCAAAAAGGTTTATAATACAAAACTTAAAAGCAAGCATTCTTTCATAGTTAATCTATTTAAATATGAATAGTTTATTTAAAATAATGCATATATTTTTCTAAGTAGTTTTAAGTCAAGTGAGTACATGTTTTGACATTGCTATCTTAACAGAAGAGGAGGAAAGCATTGTAAAATTATTATAATTTAAAACAATAATATACTATCAATAATGAGCTAAAAAGTTCAATAATGAATTAAAAATTTCATCTCACATTAATGAGGTAGTCTTTTATATTCATAACGTTTTATTTTAATCAAGTAATCTTGTATCCCATAGCCAAACTTATATAGCTAAGTTTTTCTATAAAATAAAAGAAAATGATACTTCCATGTGAAAGAATTGTTAGGGCTCAAATCTAAGCATGTGGATTTCAAATGACAGCTGTTAGTCCAAAGACTTGAAATATTGGGTGGAAAGGTTGAATATTTTTTTTTCATAATCATCTCCTTCTCTGTCTTTCACATCATCCCATAACAAGAATCCATATTTAAAACTTTGAAAGTAAAAAAAAAAAAAAAAAGTTTCTTGTGTAACTTTTCTTCTTACATTGTTCTATTCCTTAATTAGAAATCTGACTGACAGTATCAATCCTTTGTCAAACCTGGATACACATTCAGAAACTCTTGCAAATGAATTACAGATATCCTGTTTTTTGTTTGGGCTTGGAAATTTTTATTTCAGAATAAGGAGTAGGGCTGAAGGAGAGACTGTATATGATCCCAGAACATCTTTGTAGTAAACAATTACATAGGAGTCACTGGAGAATGGGTATAATTAAGAAACCTTCATGTGAGGGTATAATTTATATTCCATACATGGCTAACTTGCATTTATTTTTCCATTTTACCCTTCAAAAAATTCATTAGCATACTGAAAACTGTACATTATTGTGAAAAAGTGTATTTTTTTATATAGTGATGTTTTATGGCCCACCTTTTGTCAGAATTCAGAAATAAAAATATAATTTCTATATGTAGATATTTGATCCTAATAATAAAATTATATGGATTCACATATGTATATACTCTGAAATCTAAATGTACAAATTCTGAATATAATTTTAAAATGAAATTTTTTCCAGTATCCGTATAACCCAAGGCACTGATTGAAGACAGCTTGTAAGTTGCCTGCTGTTATCCATTGTTCAACTCTTTTTCCTCACTTCTGAGTCTCTTTACCATGTATAGAATATTTAACATTCTGAGTCATAACTTATAATTTAGGATTTATAATTTGTAACTTATAATTTAGAATTTCCAGAGCATTTAAAAATATATTCTACCAGACAGATTTTTAAAATGGCATGGCTTTGTGCATCTGCATAGAGTCATCTTCAGATGAGAGGTTAATACTACAAAAGTCAAAGAAAATATTGTTAGTGCGTTCGGATAGATAGAAAAGTTTCTATGAGTTGACTTATTGTTTTCCTATTTTATTTTATATCTAAGATAGTTACAAGTTAAAAGACTTCTTTGAAATACTTGAATGGATAGTGCATTTAACCATTAAGGATAAATATTTGCATCTTTTGTCCATTTCATTGATCTTAACTAACATTCAGAAATATGGATTACCAGTCCCAAAAAATTTAATAGTGCCGTCATTTATGAAATAATAATTGCTTCTTATTTCAGTGAAATAAACATGCTTTAATCACACCTACACAGTTAACACCTACAATTACAATTCCTTCTGAAGCCAGATAGAAGAATTGCAAGCTCAGATTCTGCCTCTTCTATAGAATAAGTTCAAGGACAGACTGGGCAATTTGGTGAAACTCTACCTCAAATAAAAAGCAAATATGCTCTCTTTCATTGATACATCAGAATAACCTGCATTTTTCTAACAACTCAAAAATAAAAGTAAATATGAGTGAACTGAACTTGTGTTGTGATCGAGTGCTTGGCTGCTGTTCATTTGGCACAAAGTTCAATTGTTAATACTGAGTTTCAACTTGTAATAAACTCCTAGGGAATTGTGAATTTGATTTATTTCATAATCTTTTTTATTAATTGCAGGATAGGTAAAATTTGGAATATAGTTTAAAGCAATTTATGTATTCCTAAATAGAAAATCATTATAACATTCTCTATCTTTATTAATAGTTTTCCTCACTGTGTCAAAAATGTGATAAAAATCAAAGAGAGAAAGAGGGAGAGAGGAGATGAATACTGGAATTCAGCTTGCTTTCTTTATTTTTTCCTTTGATTTGGTAGAGTAGCTCATCCAGTGAATGTTCTTCTCTCTGTAGTGAAATCACCTTTGAAACACTCTCACGGAAAGACCCAGAGGTGCATATCTTTGGTAATTATCAATACATCCATGTTAACAATGAATATTAAACATTACAAATCCCATTCTGTCAACAATATAAATCTGTTTATGTAAGATTAAAATGTTCATTTATCTAATATCCATTAAAATGCATATTTACATATATTCAGAGCAGTATTACATTTAAATTAATTAAGAATCCTTGAAAGCATTGACTTATCTATGTACCCCCATATTTGTGAATATTTGTACTTTGTGTATAATTAATATGTTAATAGCATCCAAATATTAAAATTAAAACATAATCCAGAAACTTAATGTTTAATATTTTGTTCTTTTAAGTAATTTCACAATGTGTATTGAATTGTTAGAATATAATATAGTTTGCTTGACATATAATTATGTCTTTTTTTTACATAGTGCTTCAGTGTTATTGGTATATTTAAATTCCATATGCCATATATAAATGTTTGACAAAAATACAAACAATGAAAAATGATGACAGAAAGAAAAAGAAAAAAATAAAATTTCGAAACAAGTTTTCACACACAGGACACTAAGCTAATACTTTTACAGTATCTAAAATATGTACTAATAGAATATACCTGATAAAAACTCTATGTAGAAAGAAATCCATCCTTTTCTATTTTTCTGTAATGTGAGCCCAGATCCAGACTTACAGGATTACAAGAGAGTGATACGTTTTGTCTATGGCCTTTGTTAGACAGAATGGCCTAAGAAACCCAGTACTATTCTAGAAAAAAACAAAAACAAACAAACAAAACTTTAATACACACACACACACACACACGTGTATCCTAATACATGCTGTGGAATAGTACACATATACACAAAAAAGGCAAGCTGTCTTTTTTAATATGATATGTCTTTATGATATATTTAACGTGAATTTACCTATTTGCAAACTAAAGCTTTAATGAAAATTTTGCGCAAATAGAAGAAGTTAGGACATACATATTTTCTTAGTTTCTCCATTATTCTTATATTTTTAAATAACTAAATTGTCTCTAACAAAAGAACAAAGTAATAAATGTAACATAAATAAGCCAATTTTTTAATAAGTAATATTCTGTATATTGATAGTCCCTAATTTTTTTTCTATTTTTTTTTCAGAATACTAGAGCATAGCTTCATGAGTTAGGAGTATTATAAAAACTTTAAAAAATATTAATAATTAAAAGCAAAAAGAATTTCAAAGCAATATTGGTGAAAATAAAGCTAACTTTCTATATCTTTCTATACTGGTGTATAGAGATGTTTTGTAAGTCCTAGAATAAATATTTCAATTAAATACTAACGTGTAAACCATATTATTTCTATACATCCCAACAAAATCCACCTTCATATTCCATTATCAAAACTTTTTGATTTCCTCATGTCATTTATTTTACTTTGAGTGTCTCAGGAACTCTATGTTTGTCTAAATAATAATTAGATTTTTATTTCTTTAATTCATTATTTTAAGAATTATACAAATAGGTTAAATGTATTTGAAGTATGAAGGGTAGTTGTTGGATCCCTGAATTTTATTGTATGTTAATAATAGCAGTTAATAGCAGAGGAAACTATTAACTATTAACACAACTCTTAACATAAGTTGTTACGGAAATATGAGATAAAGAAAACCTGCTAATATTTTTTGTTATTTAATTTATTCGAATTACAAACCGAGTGCTCACTTAGGCAGCACATATATAAAAATTGGAATGAAACAGAGAATACTACCATGTCCCTGACCAAGGATGAGACACAGATTCATGAAGTATTCCATATTTTCAGGTCCTCTAGTTTGGGAAGTGGGGACAACATTGGACATGGACTCACATGACAGCTTTTTGTTCACGTTACTCTGGTGGTATTGCCTTGCCAGGCCGCAGGGGAAGATGGAACTTGATGAGCTGGGCTGGATGGGAAAGGAAGCTCCCCTTTCCTTGGATTGAAAAGGAAGGGAGAAGGGAAATGAAGGAGGGGGAATCAGGGAGGGTGGGGATTTGAGGGGAGGGAGGATGAAGCTAAAACAAAGATGTTAAGTGAATTTAAAATTTAAAAAAATTAAATAAAATATAAAAAAGAATTACAAACTGAGAGAAAAAGTATTGTTTAGACATAGTGTGAGATGAAGTTGTTAATGATCTTTTAAAATAAAATTTGAGTATATTGTACCCTAATATAGTATTTACATAATTTCCAAAACTTCAACAACTTTCAACTTTCCCCTGTGACCCACTTCACTGTTTCTAGTATACATGAATTCTTTAATATAAGTACACACACATACGTGCACACAGGCTGCACACATATGTATTTAGTGGTATTAGTATGCACCAATTGAGGTAGATAATATATCAGAACCCTTGTCTCAATAGAAGACAGATATCCTTTCTTAATTGACTGCAGCTCTTTCATCCAAGAATAGAGTCTTGTGAAATTACTCCATCTGCATTGGAAAGTCCACTGGTGTGCTCACTATGCAGCTCTTGCTTAATCAACAGTATGATAGAGTTTCCATGGGTGTTGTGTTCCTGTCATATATGGAAAACACTATATTGAAGCTTGCATTCCATTCTCTGGATCTTAAAATCTTTACTTCCCCCTACTTCAATGAGACTTTGCGTGGCCATTATTGTTGTAGGGGTCTCAATCTACTGAAAAAGAGAAAGTTCTTGGGTGAGGAATAAGGACTATGTACATGTCTTGATATGAGGTTATGTATTTAAGATGTATTAAAAGCAGTATTGCTTTTTAAAAACATGGTCTATAAGCCATCTAACCACAGGTAGTTGACTAGATTTACAGTACCAGACATCCATACTGCTTACTCTACTCATGTCTACAAGAGTCAGATTTTCTGTAAGAAAACTGCCTGTTTTTAATTTCTGGAGAACTTATTTGAACGTGTCTGTAATCATTATGACAAATATGTATTTTTAATATAGAAGGTGAGATATTTTTCTCCTACCATTTTGCCTAAGCCCTAGCCCACATAAACTGTGCCTTAAAGAAAAAATCCAGCATAGTAATTTTAATTACAAGAAAAACCTTTTTCTTACCTAACTTACAATGAATAAATTTTATCACTTACAGAAAACTTCTGTCCTAAATAAAGTAATATGCAGATTTTTCTCTGGACTACCTGTCCTTGGTGTCACCACTTCATTATTTTATTTCTGATTGTCTGATCTTTATGACATCTTAGAGCATTTCAGAAAATAAAAAGTGGAATATATGCATATAATATAAACATATATAAAATATAAAAGGGACAATTTTGTTTGTGTTTGTTGAACAAACCTATAATAATAATAATAGTAATAATAATAATAATAATAGTTATAAGGGGGGGTGGGATCTGGAGGGGAGGAGGGAGGGGCTTATGGGGGGAATACAAAATGAATAAAGTGTAATTAATAAAAGTTAAATAAAAAATTTAAAAAAAGATGGCTGTTCACCCCCTGGTATTGCTGTCACCACAGTAAAAAAACTTATTTTTACAGAGCCTTCTAAGTCCATAGAAATAAAAGAAGTGTGAAGAAAATATTGATGTGGCAAATTGCCCTTTATTTAAAAATGCTTCTAATATGAATATGGGTTTATAATCTGTCAAATAAAGATGGCACGCTGAGATAAAAATAAAACATCAGAACAAAAATGTTCTTTTCTCTCCTGTGAATAAATTTTCATGTCAGTCAAGTATCTGTCAGTGCATCTGCAGGGTGAGTGGCATGTCTTAAGTAAGAAAAAGAAGAGGAAGCACAACTAACAAGAGTAACTAAAAGGAGAGTGGGGAATTTGACAGCCTTGATGAGCGAGGAGTCTTCTACCCACAGAATGTATTCACGTGGAATGATGCCTCCAAGCAAATAAAAATCTAGTGACAAACGACCAATATGATGGAGGAAAGAGTAAACAGACAGGCAGATGCTGATGTTTGAGTAGCTGTGATGAGCAGAGAGGAATAGGAGGCAGAAATACATCCTTTCTTGCTCAGTTGGGCTTCATTTACATTTAATTAATAGTCACTGATACCATTTTCATATTTCAAACCATATTTGAAAGTCATTGTGGAGCATGCTACAAGGACTGCCTGGAAGTATCTTCAAACAGGGATATACTGAATAACATGTTGATTTTTTTTTTCTCACAGTTTTAGACATCAGTATCCAAGTGGGTACCCTAGTAAGGGGAACAGGGACTATTTCTAACATGAACTCAATGGCTGGCTCTTTAACCTCTCATCCCACCCCATCTCCACACTGAGGGAGGAGCAGCCCTGCTAGACCACAGAGGAGGAAATTTCAGCCAGTCTGAAGATACTTGATAAACTAGGGTCAGATGAAAGGGGAGGAGGTCCTCCCCTATCAGTGGACTTGGAAAGGGGTAGGGAGAAGATGAGGGAGGCAGAGAGGGTGGAATTGGGAGGGAATGAGGGAACGGGATACAGCTGGGATACAAAGTCAATAAACTGTAACTAATATTAAAAAATAAAAAAATTAATTAAAAAAAAGCCCAGGAGTTTGGTGCTAGCATTTCGTTTGTATCTAGTAAGCGTTACTTTTTCTGTTTAAACTCATGGACGACAAAAGAGCACTAATGCAGAGAGAGAGGGGAGATGGGTAAATAGGAGAAGTGAAGGAGGAGACAAGAGAGAAAGGGAGAGAGGAGAGGAGAGTGACATGGATAGAATGTAGAAGGGTGAAGAAGGAGGAAGAGAGAAAGTAAAGAGAGGATAAAGAGAAAAGATAAAATTTGTAAGGAGCTCTTTCCTTCAAGTAACACATTCTATAATAGGGAACATCGGCTCATTGGTGAAGACCAAAGACCATGCATGGAGAGACCTGTACACCTAGCTCAGATGTGGCCCATGACCAGCTCAGTCTGCATGCGAGTTTCCTGGTTAGGGGAGCTGGGGCTGTCTCTGACATAAACTCAGTGGACACCACTTTGAGTGCCTCCTACTAGTTGGGTGGCTCAAGTAAGCCAAGGAGGAGGATCCAGATAATCCTGGTGAGACCTGATAGGCTAGGGTGATATGATAGGGGAGAAGGGCCTCCCCTATGAGTGAACTAGGGGAGGGAAATAGCCTAGAAGGAGATGGGAATGGGAGGAGATGGGGAAGGGGGCTACAGTCGGGATACCTGGTGGATAAACTGTGATGATTAATAATAATAATGAAAAGAAAATTTAAAAATAAGAAGGGACCCTCAGTTGAGGAATGGATACAGAAATTGTGGTACTTTTACACAATGGAAGACTACTTAGCAATTAAAAACGAGGAAATCATGAAATTAGCAAGCAAATGGTGGGACCTAGAAACAATCATCCTGAGTGAGGTATCCCAAAAGCAGAAAGACACACATGGTATATACTCATGTATGTAGACCTATAAGATAGGATAAATATACTGAAATCTATCCATCTAAAGAAGATAAACAAGCAAGAGGACGCAGATTACAATGATCAATCCGCACTTAGAAAGACAAATGGGATGGACATTGCATGTAGGAGCAAACAAGTAACAAGACAGGAGCCTACCACAGAGGGCCTCTGAAAGACTCTGCCTAGCAGTGTATCAAAGCAGATATTAAGACTCATAATCAAACCTCTGGCAGAATGCAGGGAATCAAAAAAAAAAGAGAGGTGGAGTTAATATGACCTGGAGAGGACAGGAGTTCCTCAAAGACAAAATATATCTGGGCACAGGAGTCTTTTACGAGACTGTTTCTCCAAACAAGGACCATGTGTGGATGCAACCTATAGCCTCTGTTCAGATGTAGCCCTTGGTAGCTCAGTATCCAAGTGGGTACCCTAATAAGAGGAACAGGGACTGTTTCTGACATGAACTCGATGGCAGGCTCTTTGTCCTTCCCCCAGGGAGAAGCAGCCATGCAGGGCCACAGAGGAGGACTTTGTAGCTAGTCCTGAAGATACCTGATAAACCAGAATCAGATGTAAGGGTAGGAGGTTCTCCCTTATCAGTGGACTTGGAAAGGAGCAGGGAGGAGATGAGGGTGGGAGGGTGGCATTGGGAGGGAAAGAGGGAGTGGGATACAGCAGGGATATAAAGTTTACAAACTGTAACTAATATTAAAAAAATAAAAATTAAAAAAAAAGAAAAGACCCTAAGGCCTGAACCAAATCTCAGTATTTCACTTCTCATTCATTGCACACTGTACCACATTTCTACAGCACATTTGAAGGGAACAGGGAAATGATACTGTATATTTATAGTCCCTATCAAGAAAATTGTCCATTTCTTTTAGGTTTTCAAATTTTCTGGCATATAAGCTTTTGTAGTATAACCTAATGATTGTTTGAATTTCCTCAGTGTCTGTAGTTATGTCACCCTTTTCAGCTCTGATTTTGTTGATTTGGATAGATTCTCTCTGCTTTTTAATTAGTTTGGCTAAGGGTTTGTTTATCTTGTTGATTTTCTCAAAGAACCAGCTTTTTGTTTCATTGATTCTTTGAATAGTTTTATTTGTTTCTAGTTGATTGATTTCAGCCCTGAGTTTGATTATTTCCAGCCGACTGCTCCTCTTGGGTGTATCTGCTTCTTTTTTTTCTAGGGTTTTCAGTTGGGCCATTAAGTTGTTTGTATGTGATGTTACAATTTCTTCTTGCAGGCACTTAGTGCTATAAATTTTTCCCTGAGCACTGCTTTCAATGTGTCCCATAAATTTGGGTATGTTGTGCCTTCATTTTCATTGAATTCTAGGAAGTCTTTAATTTCTTTCTTTATTTCTTCCTTAACCCAGCTGTCATTGAGTAACAAGTTAT